TCCGTTTAACCTATCACTTCTTACCGTTACGAGATACTATCTAGTTTACGAGCCTATAGCTACATCCGTAACAATCTTACGACCTCTATATACACTATACAATATTAAAGCACGTGTTAATAGGATAGGGTAGGACTTATATCCCTTAGTTCGTAGTAGTATAATTATATAAGGCCTTAACATCGACACTCGTCGCTCTGTTATCGTATACACTTAACTCTCGATAACACCTCGGCCGATTAGTAGCGAACGATATTATAACTAATAACGCTACGTTTAATGCCCTAATAGACTAGGGTCCTATCTACGAAAACATCCTCGATTAGATCTTACCTAGAGATACTAGAAACTTTTTCGCTACTATAAAGCTCGACCTCGGCGAATAAGAGGTGAACCGGTATACTACCCTATCGAAGATCCTTATACCCGATATCAGGTGGATTAGGATTAAATAGCGATAAGGCTATCGCTTCACCTTCCTCGGTCCGGACCTTATATATATCGACGACCTAAGTAAATATACGGACCTATCAAACCTAAAGAGGAGTAGCCTCTACGTTACCCTTATCGTTACTTTTAAAGGTTCGATAGTCTCGTACACTAGTAAATTCCTCCTCCGCTCCGCCCTTATAAATAGCTCTTAGTTTACTATACTATATACCGAACGATTTATTACCACTTTTCGGCGCGTTACTATAAGCGGGCTAAGGGTAACCCTTACTATCCTAATACCTAGCGAAAACTAAGCTACGACGATTCCTAAGGAGGTACCCGTCGTTAACTACGTATATATCTATATATTAATCGCTTATAAGGACGGCTCCGTAAAGGGATTCGCCTAATACGTATACGCTAATCGCAACGGGGATTCGCGTACCCGTAAGCTTATAGACGGCCGTCGTCCCTACTATACGCTAGAGATTAAGGCTAACGCCTTATTTATCGTTAGGGCTATACTTACTAGTGTAACGCGCCTAGGTTCGCCTATCTAGTTCGTCGATTCCCTCTAGTATATTTCACCCTAGTTCGAATGCTTCTATATACGAACGAGTAACACTTACGGTATCTAACACACTTTAAAAAGTAGATATATCGAGTGCAAACTATTAGCGCGAGATAGAATATAGCGGCTCGGACATTACGGACTACGGCGATATAACTAAAGACTACCCCTAGTAAGAGAAGGAATATAGCGGCCTAGATATTATAGACGGCGGCTATACGATTATAACCTACGAGTACGAGAACAAATATAGCGATATAGATATTACGGACGGCGGCGACACGATTACAGACTATAACTATATAAGATATCGGCCGAAGTATTAAGGTTTCCCCTATTGATCTAACATAGTAATAATAACTAACCTATTCCTACTACTTTCTATTCCTACTCTATATACTCGCTACCTAGGAGCTACCTCCCTATAACGTCTACTATAGGGCGTATATACCGTAACACTATAATAGTAAAGGATCTAGACTCTTC